GTGAATGATAACAAACCTCTATTCACAGAAAACATAATCAATGTCTTTGTGAAAGAAAACAGTCCAGTAGGAGCAGTTTTAAAAACTGTTTCAGCAATCGATGCTGACGTCGATCAGAATGGTCAGGTGAGCTATTCAGTTTTACAAAGTAACAGTAACTCACTGCCGTTATCTACAATGGTGAACATCAACTCAGAGACTGGAGATATAGTCAGCCTGCAGTCTTTTAACTATGAGGAGTTGAAAACGTTTCAGTTTAAAGTTCAGGCCACAGACTCTGGTGTTCCTCCGCTCAGCAGCAACGTGACTGTCAACGTTTTAATCCTGGATGAAAATGACAATAATCCAACAATTCTCGCGCCATATTCTGAGCACGGCTCCGTTAACAGTGAGAGCATCCCCTATTCTGCTGAAGCGGGATACTTTGTGGCAAAGATCAGGGCTGTAGACGCAGACTCTGGATACAATGCGCTGCTCTCTTATCACCTCTCTGAGCCCAAAGGAAACAACCTCTTCCGCATCGGAACCAGCACCGGAGAAATCAGGACTAAGAGGAGAATGAGTGACAATGACCTGAAAACTCACCCCTTGGTGGTGTTGGTGTCTGATAACGGAGAACCCTCCCTGTCAGCTACTGTGTCTATTGAGGTGGTGGTGGTCGAGAGCACAGCTGACATCCAGACTCAGTTCAGACATGTGCCCATAAAGGAGGACAGCTTCTCTGCTTTGAACCTCTATCTGCTGATCGCCATTGTGTCGGTGTCAGTCATCTTTCTGCTCAGCCTCATCAGTTTAATAGCTGTCAAATGCCACAGGACAGACGGCACTTTCAGCAGGTACAGCGCCCCAGTGATCACCACCCACCCTGACGGGAGCTGGTCTTACTCCAAAGCTACTCAGCAGTATGACGTGTGTTTCAGCTCAGACACACTCAAGAGTGACGTAGTGGTTTTCCCCGCACCGTTTCCGCCTGTAGATGCGGAGCTGATCAGTATTAACGGAGGAGACACTTTTACCAGAACTCAGACTTTACCCAACAAAGAAAAGGTAAGAGATTTAACACATAAAGTACTCGTTGCTACACCGTTCCTTTGTAGATAATTTGTTACAATATGGTGCCGTTTCATTCACGTCATTTTAAAGAGAGACTTGTGCTATATAACCATCAAGAAATTGCAATACTTTTTACATACACTGTAGCTTGCTGTTCATTAGTTTTAGTCGATTTGGCTGCTGACTAGTATACTCTGTGTGAGTCGCTATCCGTGGTGCTGAACTCAACTTGAAGACTTTCAATTTCCTTAAGATGATGCAAAACGAGTGTTTTTCAATATACTGACACGTGTTTGGTTACAACTCTTCAACAATATGTGAGTGAATTCATAATTTATCTTCTAGAGAACTTTTGATATAATCATTACATGCACTTTGACGTTCAGATGGAAAAATCACAGATGGGTTTTCAGTATTCAGCACATGCTGTGAAGCATTTGCTTGAAATTTCAGGTAATTTCTTAAGGATGTTGTTTTTGAACACTTAAGTCATTATTGTGAATTTGGGTTATCAGTGTTTTAAAAGTTTTTCTCTATCATTTGATGTTTCAATTTTTGCATTGCCTCATGTTTAAAGAGAATCGAGTATGTACACATTTCTGATGTGATGAAATTCGATGTAGCATGTAATTATGACGTATGTCCACATGGGGACACTATAGACCATCACATTTGGACGATTTGTGTCATGGCTCAGGGCTCCTCCCAGAGTCAGCGGATGATGCATCTGTGGGCTTTGTTTCAAAGAGACGTCGGACGACAAAGAACGGTCGTCTTGCTTGCTCGTGGAAATGCCAAAATAATTGGTTGGAATACTTCTTCCTTGATTTTGATCTTGTGGTCGTTGTAACATGTTGTTCTAGTTTGCCCATATGTTCCTACTCGATGCGTGGAATAATGCATTTGCCGAGCAGACGGAGCTGTATGTGGATATATCTCCTGTTCGTGCTGCTGGATTGTTACTGGGAAGCGGTGTCTGGGCAGCTCTCTTACTCCGTCTCAGAGGAGGTGAATCTGGGGACTGTTGTCGGAAATATCGCCAAAGATCTCAACATCAATGTCCAGGATTTGGAGTCCCGCATGTTTCAGATCGTTGCTGGATCAAAGAGAAAATATTTCGAGGTAAATCTAAAGACTGGTGTCCTGTATGTTAATGAGAGGATAGATCGAGAGGAACTCTGCGGCGATGAACCAAAATGTTCCCTCAGTGTAGAAGCAGTGATTAATAACCCTTTAAAACTGTACCGGATTGAAATTATAATCTTAGATGTGAATGACAATTCCCCGTCATTTCTGAGCCCGTCACAGGTATTCAACATTACAGAGAACACAGCAGCAGGAGCTAAATTCCCTCTGCATCCTGCTGACGACGCAGACGTCGGTAAAAATACTGTTAACAGCTACAAGCTGAGCCAAAATGAGCACTTCTCTCTCGTCACACATAAAGGAGAGAGTGTAGTCCCCGAATTATTACTCCAGAAAGTTTTAGACAGAGAAAAACAGTCTGTGATCCGACTCACACTGACTGCCATTGATGGAGGAACTCCTGCTAAATCTGGCAGCATGACTATAATGGTAAATGTGTTGGACATTAATGATAATCCTCCTGTATTCAGTCAAACTCTGTATAAAGCCAGTGTGTATGAAAATGCAAAAGTAGGCACATCCATAATAACACTAAATGCTACTGATCTGGATGCAGATCAAAATGGACAAGTCTTGTATTCACTCAGTAAAGTAGGCAGAGGGAAACAACCTGATCTTTTTACTATAGATGAAAAAACTGGAACTGTAACAAATAAAAAGAATATCGACTTTGAAGAAAATAATGCTTTTGAGATTCGAGTACAAGCCAGTGATGGAGCTGTTTTCCCTATGACCTCACATGTCAAATTATTGATTGAAGTTTTAGACGTCAATGACAATGCCCCTGAAATTTCAGTTACATCACTATTAAATGCAGTCAAAGAGGATGCGTCCATTGGCACCGCCATTGCACTAGTTTCAGTATCTGATAAAGACGGAGGTAAAAATGCGATGGTGAACTGTAAAATCTCCAATAATGTTCCGTTCAAATTGGAGTCAAATTATAAGAATTACTACTCGTTGGTGGTGGACGGTCCTCTGGACAGAGAAAGCTCAGCTGAATACAACATCAGCATCACTGCTACTGATGAGGGCAGCCCACCTCTCTCCAGCACGAGCGTCATTAATGTCCACGTCTCAGATGTGAATGATAACAAACCTCTATTCACAGAAAACATAATCAATGTCTTTGTGAAAGAAAACAGTCCAGTAGGAGCAGTTTTAAAAACTGTTTCAGCAATCGATGCTGACGTCGATCAGAATGGTCAGGTGAGCTATTCAGTTTTACAAAGTAACAGTAACTCACTGCCGTTATCTACAATGGTGAACATCAACTCAGAGACTGGAGATATAGTCAGCCTGCAGTCTTTCAACTATGAGGAGTTGAAAACGTTTCAGTTTAAAGTTCAGGCCACAGACTCTGGTGTTCCTCCGCTCAGCAGCAACGTGACTGTCAACGTTTTAATTCTGGATGAAAATGACAATAATCCAACAATTCTCGCGCCATATTCTGAGCACGGCTCCGTTAACAGTGAGAGCATCCCCTATTCTGCTGAAGCGGGATACTTTGTGGCAAAGATCAGGGCTGTAGACGCAGACTCTGGATACAATGCGCTGCTCTCTTATCACCTCTCTGAGCCCAAAGGAAACAACCTCTTCCGCATCGGAACCAGCACCGGAGAAATCAGGACTAAGAGGAGAATGAGTGACAATGACCTGAAAACTCACCCCTTGGTGGTGTTGGTGTCTGATAACGGAGAACCCTCCCTGTCAGCTACTGTGTCTATTGAGGTGGTGGTGGTTGAGAGCACAGCTGACATCCAGACTCAGTTCAGACATGTGCCCATAAAGGAGGACAGCTTCTCTGCGCTGAACCTCTATCTGCTGATCGCCATTGTGTCGGTGTCAGTCATCTTTCTGCTCAGCCTCATCAGTTTAATAGCTGTCAAATGCCACAGGACAGACGGCACTTTCAGCAGGTACAGCGCCCCAATGATCACCACCCACCCTGACGGGAGCTGGTCTTACTCCAAAGCTACTCAGCAGTATGACGTGTGTTTCAGCTCAGACACACTCAAGAGTGACGTAGTGGTTTTCCCCGCACCGTTTCCGCCTGTAGATGCTGAGCTGATCAGTATTAATGGAGGAGACACTTTTACCAGAACTCAGACTTTACCCAACAAAGAAAAGGTAAGAACATAATAGCACCACGTGTTTGACACTACACCAATGTTGAGAACTGGGTGGGAATTGATGCCGTTGTACTTGAAGTCTTTTGCAAAAAGCTTTGTGTCATGTAGGTGATTAGGGGAAAAATATGTGACTTGCGTTTGAGTTAATATACTGTAGAAATATTCAAAATTACCTGAGTATCTTGATATAAATTCACACAATGGAAATGTGTTGAATTAGTGATCTCAGTCATGACTTTCTGCTGAGCTGCTTTTTTTAAGTGTATGTGGCTTTCCATGGTGCTGAAGGCATGTGGTTCTGTGTCGCTTCTAAACTGCAGGACAAAGCTGTAAATTATTTTCAACCCTGTCTCATAGAAATTAGGCTTTCATACCGGCTCAAACATCAGCAATGTATTTGTGAAGATACATGCTTTGTCTTTAGTTTGATTGTGCTTCTTTTCCCTTTATTCGTGTCTGGCTTTTGCAGAAAGCGGGTTTTTGTTTGTGTCCTGACTAAACCATTTTTCTGGATTGCTGATATTTTAAAAACCTTCTTCTGTAATCACATCAGTTGTCTCGTGAAGTTTTGACTTCATTTTGAAAACAGTTCAGTTTATTAAAAGATGCAATCATATTAAGTGTTAATCTAAATTATCACTGTGATGAATTAAGCAGTTCAACCAATTCTTCTTTGACTTATGAAATGGTTTAGCTACATGTTCAAGTGGAAATTAAGAATGTCAAGGTCTGCTAATATTAGTGTCTGTATGTTGAATGTAGTTCTCGCAAGTGTCCACATGAGGACATTGTAGACCGTCACATTTGAACCAACTCGTTGGTAGCACGGGGCTCCTCCCAGATTCAGAGGATGATGATGTTTCTCAGGCGATTCAAACAAAGAGACTCGGGGAGCGAAAGAGGACGGTGCGACCACCATTTTTCTATTGTAGTGCTTATATGCCGATAAATTCATTTGGTATATTTCGTGATGCTGTTTAATGTATCCATATGAGTGACCTTATTCGCCAAATCTACCTTTATGTCGTCTCTGGATGTGTGGAATGATGCATTTGCCGAGCAGAAGGAGCTGTGTGTGGATATATCTCCTGTTCGTGCTGCTGGATTGTTACTGGGAAGCGGTGTCTGGACAGCTCTCTTACTCCGTCTCAGAGGAGGTGAATCTGGGGACTGTTGTCGGAAATATCGCCAAAGATCTCAACATCAATGTCCAGGATTTGGAGTCCCGCATGTTTCAGATCGTTGCTGGATCAAAGAGAAAATATTTCGAGGTAAATCTAAAGACTGGTGTCCTGTATGTTAATGAGAGGATAGATCGAGAGGAACTCTGCGGCGATGAACCAAAATGTTCCCTCAGTGTAGAAGCAGTGATTAATAACCCTTTAAAACTGTACCGGATCGAAATTGTCATCTTAGATGTGAATGACAATTCCCCGTCATTTCTGAGCTCGTCACAGGTAATCAACATTACAGAGAACACAGCAGCAGGAGCTAAATTTCTATTAAAACGGGCTCACGATGCAGACGTCGGTAAAAATGCTGTTAACAGCTACAAGCTGAGCCAAAATGAACACTTCTCTCTCGTCACACATAAAGGAGAGAGTGTAACTGTAGAATTACAGCTTCAGAAAGTTTTAGACAGAGAAAAGCAGTCTGTGATCCGACTCACACTGACTGCTATTGATGGAGGAACTCCTGCTAAATCTGGCAGCATGACTATTATAGTGAATGTGTTGGACATCAATGATAATCCTCCTGTATTCAGTCAAGCTCTCTACAAAGCCAGTGTGTATGAAAATACAAAAATAGGCACATCCATAATAACATTAAATGCTACTGATCTGGATGTAGGTCCAAACGGACAAATATCGTATTCTATTATTGAAATAGACCGGGGGAAACAGACTGATCTGTTTGCTATAGATGAAAAAATTGGAACTGTGACAAATAAAAAGAATATCGACTTTGAAGAAAATAATGCTTTTGAGATTCGAGTACAAGCCAGTGATGGAGCTGTTTTCCCTATGACCTCACATGTCAAATTATTGATTGAAGTTTTAGACGTCAATGACAATGCCCCTGAAATTTCAGTTACATCACTATTAAATGCAGTCAAAGAGGATGCGTCCATTGGCACCGCCATTGCACTAGTTTCAGTATCTGATAAAGACGGGGGTAAAAATGCGATGGTGAACTGTAAAATCTCCAATAATGTTCCGTTCAAATTGGAATCAAATTATAAGAATTACTACTCGTTGGTGGTGGACGGTCCTCTGGACAGAGAGAGCTCAGCTGAATACAACATCAGCATCACTGCTACTGATGAGGGCAGCCCACCTCTCTCCAGCACGAGCGTCATTAATGTCCACGTCTCAGATGTCAATGATAACAAACCTCTATTCACAGAAAACATAATCAATGTCTTAGACGTTAATGATAACTTCCCAGCATTTACCAAACCGTTGTATAAAACAAGTATTACTGAGAATGTTCCGGTTGGGACATCCGTAATAACAGTAACAGCAACAGACGCTGATGAAGGGCCAAACGGGGAGATTTCATATTCATTTAGCAGCAAAGATCAGGACCATGTTTTGGAAAT